ATATATATATATATATATATATATATATATATATATATATATATATATATATACACACACTCATAGGTCAAATTTAACATTCCTCTTTTCTAAAAAAACATTTTTTTATGTCTTTAAGCAATAATCATCAAAATCAACATTAATGTTTGGAACGTGTGAACCTGTGCCAGTAAATCTAATAACATTCATAACTCTAATAAAAGTGCCTATTCACAATAAAACAAGGACTATATGTAATTAAAGTTTTTAAAGTTCTGATTAGTCAGTTTGTAATAATATTAAAAATTGCAGTGTTGTTGAGAATTGCCTTGCTTTAGCAAAAAGGACACTCAAAATAATTGGTTATTGCTCTGGTAAACACTCTTATAGAATTGCCTGTGAAATTGTAATTGATTTTGTTAGGAGGGAGTCCTTTAAAATGCTCCCCTTGAGATCCCTGATTGTGAATGACCTTTTTCTTTGGTATAGCATAGCCTCAAACCCCAAACTGAGAGAGCCTTGTCCAGACTCCCTGGTCCCTAAAAGCATGCTGGAAAGTGCCAATCCTAATTATGGTCACCAAGCCTCAGCGAGCAGCTGCTGGGATCTGTTAAACTCCTTCATTCTGTCCATTGGAATATACCATTCTCAGAAACACATTCTGTAACCATCATCTTCTAAATAAGATGAGGGGGTATATTCCAAGATATTATTTCCTTATATGTAAAATGAGGAATCGGCCTGTTTCGACCATCTGGTTTATTTTGTTCACCAAGAATGCCAAGGCTGCAGCTTTAATATCCCTCCAGAAACAAAACAATCCAAGTGGCAGCCCCTCAGCAGGATTTTGCCTCGCATCAGAGCAGCATGTAAAAAAAACAGGCTGTTCAGTATTAGCAAGGAGTAAAAATAGCTGCTGGTTTTCACATTCACTCATTCACATTCAATTTAAAAGGTTTCCCTTACATTTGAGCCAAATAACTGAATGTGAAAAAAATATATATATTACCAAATTGCGATGATACAGTAAACTACAGCCTAAACATTTCAACATGATCTGTTCAAGCATACATATATTCTCAACGAAGGACAAATATATGATTTCTTCCCTTTCATTTCCTCTCTGAAGCTTTGCTGAAAAGCACAGAAATAGAAGATAAATATTTTTTTTCTCCATTTCCACTTGAAGTTTCATGCTAAGTATAATGAGTTTCATGATTTGAAGAGCATGTTAAGAGCCATGGTTATTTGTCCTCTGCATAATTGCTGGGCTAAGAAATCAACCTTGTTCTGCATCAGTCTATATGCAGAAAACATTTCCACCTTGCAGAAAATCTACATTATGAAAAAACTTCATAAACAGATGGTTGGACTTAGTACCAGAAAGTTATATTATGCACTAGATTTAAGCTGCTTTGCTGTGGTCAAAGTTGATGGCATCTGTAGTAAAGCATGAGTTCCACTTGTTTTTGCAATGCTTTTGGTAAAAAAAAAAGCGTACATGCATGAGGAAAAAAAACGCAGGTAGAGCATTAAATCATTAGACTTCACCAATAATTGTGCTTCCATTAACCACAAATAATTCAGTCCTTCTTTATGCTATCATGGGTTCCAATGAGACTGAATAAGCATATGCTGCAGAGTCACTTCATCACAGCCTCTGAATTCATAAGAGAAGATTTGCAATGTGCAGAGAGGAGTTCAGAAGGTGTTTATCATATCTGGAAATCACTTGCCTTTAATGTGGGTCAATGCAAAAAAACAAAAAATCTAAATATCTGTTTGTGTTATAGAAATTCTTCCCAACACCAACTGATTAAAACAAGCTCAAACATTTTACAGTTTGTCACAATAAACAATATGCAAACAGATGTCAGAGTAAACAAAAGTTGATGCAGTTATTAAAGTGCTGTGAGAAAAGATTTAGGACAAGTGACACCAGATCAAACAATCTACTTGAATAGGAGAGATGTTAATCTTTCTATCTTGTGACGTGTAGCTACTGATTTAGAAACTAATTGTTTTGAGAATATATACATTTATGAATGTTTGATAGGAATTCTATTGCATTTATTAGGATCTGGGAAATTTAAACATACTAAATATAAAAAATAAATATGCTATTAACTATAATCTCCTAACACAATTTCAGATTTTTTAGTACCTGATAATGTACTCATTAGACCATATTTTTACTGAAATTGCTCCAATTTGCTTTTGCAATTCAAAAATTACCAATGCTAACGTTCACCAATCAGAGTTGATTAAAGAAAAGATTCAATACTTGGCCAACTGATCATTGCATAGGGAAGTCTTTGTTCAGTTAATGGAAAAAAAATATATATAAATGGGCTAATATATATTATCTGTATTGTCAGGAAGAAGATAGGGAATCAATATTTTAAACAGCTTCTTTACAGTTGACACATGGAACAGTTTTCTCCCTTTCTCAGCAAGTTATTACCAAGAAAAGAGACAGAAGGATAACAAGGCTGCAGCAGCAAAGATTATCAACAGTTCTGACCTATTTTAGATTCAAACATATTAAGACTAAGTTCAACTCTATAAATCTAGGTTCCAGTTAGGCCTACTTGTGTATTGTGGGCATTAATGGGTGGCACGGATTTATAATTGTATCACATTTATGGTATATATTGAGGTGATAGTTAAAGTGATCATAAAATTGTTTTAGGTCCTTTAGCAATAGATATATATATATCTACACACTTTCAGATCTAAATGCTGAAAATGATATTCCTGTAAACATTAAGTAACGTGACATCTTCTGCTTACAGTATAGAATAAATGTTTCAGTCACATACTGTACGCCATCACATGAATCGATGCAATGAGGTGGTTTTCCTTAGATAGAAAACTTTGAATCAGTTTGAATGTATGATCTGATGAACTGTAAAGTGCCTTGAGATGACATTTCTTGTGAATTGGCGCTATATAAATAAACTGAATTGAATGGAATGATCTGTGTAAAACCAGTAGTGTAAAAAAAAATTTCAAATAGTAGAAAAAAAATACACACAGTTGCTGTCATTATAGTTATTATCACTAAGTAACACATTCCTATCATTTTTTTTATTTTTGCACAATAACAATATGAAATATGACAACTGTCCATCTCTACTACTGGCTCCAAAATTAAATATAGGTTAAATTATCCCTCTTTGGAGTCTCAACATTAGGAGTAACTGGAAAATTTATATTTTATGTTAATGCTGCCATTATTGATTTAAAAAAAATATTTAAGATCTTTTTACTTTCAATTATTTTCTTAATGGAACAAATAATGAATGCAAGACAATATTTGTAAGTTAAATTTAAGGAGTTTGATTTTATATCTTGATTTTCATATTTGTGTGTTTGACTTAGATGAAGCACTTGAAGAGGAGTCTTTTAAACAGAAAAAAACAATGACATAGTGTTGCTTTTTCTTCCCCTCACCATTCTGGGCTGGTACCCAGTCCAACCTCCCCCTCCCCATCCCTTCATCCCAACATGGGTTCATGCCAGACTGTGAATGAGAGAGGAGGTCCTTAACAGTCTAGTTTGCTCGTTTGATGTGGAGCACTGAGGTTTCTTTGTGTACAAGATAGTCGCATGCAAGCCCTGAAGCGAAAATATTATCCCCATAAATAAGCAAATCATGTATCATCTACATAATGCATACAAACATCCGAAAAAATGAATCTAACAAACCAGGAAATATAGTGAAAACCACAAGCTGCTGCCTCCGCTCTCCCTGGTGATGAGATTTAGCTGCTGCCTAAGTACCATATTTGGGGAAGAGACTTTTCTGCATAAAGAAGATTAGTGTTAGTTGTTTAAGGGCTTGGGGGCAAAGATTTACCATTATTACCAATCCCAATGAAAAGAGTAAAAGCCCATCATGCTCTAGTATATAAACGCTTGCCAAGATATTAAAATGTTAATTGAGTCGAGCCACACACCATATGGGAGAGATTAGGACATGCCAGGGTCATGCAGAAAATGACCAAGATTAGGTGACCTCTGAGAATGATAGTTGATTGAGTGAGATTAATACAATACAGAGCTCAGATGGAAAAGAAGAGTGATGGCAATGGCCTGACAGCCATGATAGTTATGCAACTAGGCAATTAACAATATTAAAGTAATAAGAAGTAAAAGAATTTCGGAAAAATGCTAGAAGCGCCTGTGGCAATAGAAGTAGAGCAGGGAGTCCCGAGGCCTAAATTTTAAAAAGCTGTATTATGATGCAATCTTCTAACCCATGGGAGGAACACAAAACTAATGAGAAAGGGGGAAAAAAAGAACGAAACAGAATACTTTAATTTGCTTGCAAACAGCAGCACATTGTTAAGGGATTACATCAGAAATCAAAGGGGATAATTAAAAACAGGAGCAAAAAGATTCACTTAGGGCTAAAAGAGTTTGAAGCAACTTTGCCCAGTAAAAGTGAACTTTGTAGCAGTTTAGGGCCCCTTGAGAGCCTAGGGGCCTTATGTTAAACATAAAAAAAAAAAGAATTATCACAGCAAATGTTAAATGAGGTGTTAGTCCACTTGGATATGTATATTATCATTATTTGTAAACAATGCTAGCAATTTAATTAAGGTAAATAATTTTAGCTTGTTTCGTCTGAGTTGGAAAAACATTTCTTGCACACTTCAACTGGGTAAACGCTTTTAATGTTTGGCTGCATGTGAAGGTAACATAGAGAAGTGAGATTATGTTGATTTGGATGTGTGGCCCCAAATAAAACCCTGCTTAGGTCCTCATACAACCTTAGGCTGTCTCTTGGTTTCATTATGATCAACTTTAGGCATTTTATTTGCTGCTTACACTGTTATCGTGTCTTTTGTACAATAAGCTATAAAATGTATTTGCATGAAAAAGATATATTTCAAGTTGCATGTAATGTTTTGCTAAGTTTTCAATTTACTGATATTGTCAAAATGTTGGCATATGAGAGGGAGGGGAATTAACAAACCAAAGTGGATTTTTAAGCTTGAAATAAAACAAAAAAAACAATTGCTTCTTGAAAACAACTGAATCAACATGAGGAAAAGAGATTAGACAATTTGATGTTTATAAGCATAATGTATGAACGTCTCTTTGGAATCACTGTGGGGAAAAATATCTGTATTGAATATTTGCATTTCTAGACCAAGCCACTGGTTATCCAACATTCTCAATCTAGGATGCAAAGACATTCATTTTAATGTGATGCAATCTCTTCCAGTTCCATATTTTTATGACTATAAAATGTAAATTTCTGGTTACTGTTAAAAGTAGCTAGAATCTTTCCCCATCCTCCTTGAAATAAAATTGTACAAACATTTTTATTGGTATTTGACCTTCTTCTCATTTATAAAACAAGCATGATAGTAATGCAGCAAAATGTATTTCATTCCCTAGGAAATAATGTAGAGCAAAATACTCATAGGGCTAATATCCGAGATTATTTTTCAAAAATGACTCTTTTTAACTTACCAATTCTTAGGACCTGCTGAGAAGTGAGCCAAAGCCATCCCATAAAGTAAACCAGTGAAAATACCAGTCCCGTCCTTTTCACCATGGTCATTCCTCCAAATTTGAATTTAACATTGAGATGAAGTTTTTTTTTGTCCTCCTTAATTCATGCTGATAACTTGCCAGTCCTTGTATCCATGGCAAAAAGAAACTGGAATCCATCCCACATCCATCCCTCACACATTGTAAAAACAAAAACAAAACAAATATTTTAAAAACATGTATCTGAGATTTTGGCAGCAGTTGCCACTAATTAAAAGACTCCCAGTTTCCCATTCTAAAATTTGTTATATTCCTGCATTATATGACTTCCCAGAGACATTCTCAAAGCTTAATTCTTATGTTTTTCCAGTGCACACTTGAGTTGTAAACTGCAACAGAGGAGGAGGACGATGCACTGTGCTCTCTCTGTCAATTATGCAAGAACAGAAAACCCTTTCTCTCAGCAATTTTCAAAATAAAATGTAAAAATATAACAATATTACTACAAAAAATGAAATTCATGATTCTTACTGAGAAATTCATGATTCTTACTGAGAATTATTTAATATCACAATTTAATTTTTTTCTAAACATGTAAATGTTCCATTTCTTAATTTTTCTTTTGTTGTCCTGATCTGTATATTGGAATTCAGACAGAGATGTTCTAACCTTGTTTTTATCTCTATTTTTTTGGGTTTATATTGAACTATTTTAAAGCATATTTCTATCATTGCTCAGTTTAATCTCTATATTTGGGCTTTTATTGTGAAATCAAGTCTGCCTGGTTTCTGCTCTTACTGCCTGTGCCTTTGGCTGATTTGACACTGCTGAATACCCCCACCACTACCACCACCACCTCCACCCCACACAGCCGCTCAATTGAGGGCACAGCCAAGCCGTTGATCTCCAAACATGGATACGTCCTGAAGATTAACTTCAAATCTGGCAACATTCGACCTCAACAACATCTTTGCTTTGGTACACCGAGGAATGATTAAATCTTTGCTCCAGTCCTGATGGAAATGCAAATTTAATCCACAAACTGCATGGTGATGCTCCCCATAAGATTAACTATCTCAGACAGCTTAGATGACACCATGTTTAAGTTAAATACAATGTGTTGGTGTTTCTTTATTCATAACAGGGGTGTGACAGAGAAGTTGGGAGCTCATTTGACACTGGTGCCATAAACATTTTAGCCAAAGAAAGCAAATGCCTCATAGATAATTAGGGAGCAATGTGATGATGCTGTCATTTGATCAAAATATTGAAATCAAAGTTCATATGAAATTAGTTTTTTTCGTGACTAATAAATAAAAAAGTAAATTGTCATCATATTCCTTTGCAAAATAAAGTGTAAAAATATGTGGTGTTTCCAAATTATTGCAAGCACCTGCTTAATAGAATTTAAGGCTATTAAATCATGTGTAGAAGGTCACATTGCATTCTATAGTGCCATCTAGTGGTTAAAGCGCTCTGATGAATCCTGGACCCATGCTAATAGTATTTTTTACTCCTTTTTTTTTTTCTTCAGTGATCATTGGTTAGAATACACTTTTTTCTTTGTCTCTGGTTACTTGTTCAAAGAACCATCATAAACCAAAAAAAAAATGGGGGCAATTTATGTAACCTTTAATTAATCTAAACTGTAATTGTGCAGTGCAGAAGAAAAATAAACTTCTCAAGGAAATCACAAAAATGCTCATCTCTTTCATCTTTATTTCAGACACACACAATAAACAACAATACAATAAATGACAGTATATGTCCTTGTAACATAAATTTAAAAAACTGTCTGAAAGGGTGTATTTGCAGAAGCAATAAGCTTATAATGCCCATCCTCCAAAACCAAGTTACATTGGACTAGAAAAGAAAAAAAAAATGTTGTGTAAGAACATACAGACTTTAAATATTACGTCACTTTATTCAAGATTTCATCACAAATCTCTGCTGAAATTTAAAAGTTCTAAAATAAACACCACCAAGTATTGCAGTTACACCAAAAATTAAAACAAAATAAATAACTGGCATTTTATTTCATGATACTGATACCCTTTACTGTAACACCTTTAAATGAAACATAGAAAGATTGGAACAAGAGACATTACAACTTTTAGATATTTTCTTGACAATTTGGTTTTATACAGTTGTGACCAGACATAAAAATACACTTTGTAAAGAAATAAAAATGTTTTCATCATTGTGAAATATTAAATCAATCTAGAAAATGTTATAACATAACAAAAAAAAAAAAATGAAATGATTGGTTTTATTGTACTGGGTAAATGGAAGAATAATCTATAACTTTTTACACAAGTTTACACATACTAATAAAGTTTATTTGTTTGAATTGCATAATTATCAGGTCTATGGAATTCAAACAATAAACTTTATGTATTTGAAATAAATATGCTTAATTAATTTAATGAATATGCATCATGTAATGTTTATTTTTTATTATGTATTCATTAAAACGATCTAGGAAAAAAAGTAAATGTGAATGTGTTGTGTAATAAAATTGTACATCTTAAAACTTGGGTGAAATATTTATGTGAGTGTATTTAGGCACACCTTTTAAGTGTGTTTTAACAAAGAAGCTCAGATGCTTCTTTATTTTTAATCATGACAAACCAAAAGAGAATACAGTTTATGTATGTTTTCAGTTCTGGTATATCTGCTAACATTTTTCCACTTGATGTGATGACAGCTGCATACAAGGCAGCACAACACCTCTGGTTTCTGTTTATCCAAAATCTGTTGCTGTATTTTCCAATGACTCCACTCCAACTAACTTAATTTCCAATATTTCCATTACTGCTTTTGCAGGAGCTGTACTTTTGTTTTGCTTTTGGCCCAGCTCAGAAGTAGGTAAAATCAGCAATTATTAAAACATTTGAACATGGAAAGGTTTTAAATTTGCTGGAATGGAGTAGAGCCAGGCTTAGGGAACTCGGTGAAAAAGTGGGATATGGCTTTGATGTCCCCAAAATATAATTTCTGTTGTTTAACCTTTTTTGTTATTGTATTAAATAAGTTCAACTATATTTTTGTTTATATCATAACAGTGAATGAACAGTTTACTTAGGATGTATAATAATTTTACAGTTCGATCTACATCAAGCTGGGTCAGAGTTCCTGTTTATCTGTTTATTAAGAATAATGCATTTTACAAACAAACTTTTATAGAGGTTAAACAAACTTTTAATAAAAGTAAAGAAGCATCCTTCTAACATATCTTCTGCTGAGTACATTTTTAAGGAAATAGAGGAATCACAACACTTATAAATAATTGTGACCTTTGTTAATATTATTTTTCTATGAAGATAAGATATCACATTCTTTTAATAATTCAATTTAATAATAGCAGTTATATGCCACTGGGTCACACATTCCACTGAATGAACTTGTGTTCTGGGTTGCATACAATGAGTTTCCTGAGATATGAATGTTTCCAGCCTTCTGAGAGCATGCAGACCGGTTCATCTGGGCTTCACTGCTCATCATGTCCTGAGCCGCAGTTTGTAGTGGTATAGGAAGTTGTGCATCTAAAGTTTTATTCCTCTGAGAATTCCTAGTTGACTTGAGGGTTGAGACGGGGTAATAGCTCGTCATTGTTAGCTTGCCATCTGAGGCCAAACATCTGCAGGTAAACAACAAGGCTGAGGCCAAAAGGAAAGCTCCAGTCGCCCAACCAATGTATAGGGCATCTCCCACCTCTCTTCTCTCTGTATTAGTCGACAGTGGATTGTGTAGATCTCTTACGATAACGTAGCCAGTCCATGAAACAGGTACAAACACACAGATGCAGCCCATAAACTGTATTCCCCCAGCAACCATTAGGATTACAGTTTTTGCCCATTTGATACCCTGAAAGCAGGAAGTGCATCTCATCCCAGCCAGAGCGACCAACAGCCCGACTCCTGACAATGCAATAGAACAGCACATCAGACCTCTGCCAGCCTGCAGCTCAGGGGAGATATCAAGCAAGGAGTCATACACCTTACACTGCATCCTGATATTTGTGTCTCTGTGGCAGTTCATCCACAAACCCTCCCAACGGGTCTCCATCTCTGTTTCATTTTCTCCAGTGGAAACTGTGACTTTCCACATAGGCAAGCCAGTCGTTGCAGAGGCACCGATCATCCCCATCAAGCCGATGCACATAGCAGCAATCTCAGACAAACCTTGTATCATTGTTTAGCATCCAAGACTGTTGTGCATGTATTCAAGAAAAAAAATGAGCTCAAACTCACCAAAAATCTGCTCTTTATATGTAGCACAGCATTTAAGAGACAAATATATATATATATATGTATCTGTTAGCGATGTCTCTCGTGCAATGAGGATCTTTCCTTCCAGTTTATTTTGGTGTAACAGCCTGTTTGTTGTGGGAAAGATGCTGTGCAAACCCCTGATTGGTTTAGAAAGATGTAGGTAAATAGAACGTCTGTATGGTTTGTTTATGAAATACCAGGCAATGGAGGCATACCAAAGCATTGATCATTACTTTCTCAAACACTGACCACAGTAAAAATAAAACAAGTATATCCATAACAAAAAGAAATATTCTAAATATACCTTGTCTTTGTGTGTTAGAAATATTATAGTTTGCTCTATTATGGGAATCCAGCATTGGCTTTGGATGTAAAAAAAAAAGCAAAAAAGTTGAATAATGGTTTTTTGATCCCTTGATTTAAATGTATACAGTTCGTTGAAGATTTTACAGCATCCTCTAACCATGGTTAGAAAATTATACAATTCAATATTAAACAAATTAATATAATGGCTTTTTTATTTTCTCATGCAGCAATAATTCCACCTTATGCCACTCTAGAGACTGGTCTCTGCTGGTTGTTATTATCTTTGGAGTTCATAGACAAGAAACTCTTTTTGTGTACGGAGAAGTTTTTGGAGTTATAACAGAATATAGGTTAAGGGAACTGTGAATTGGCTAAAGCCCCTGGTTGTGTTGTAAGCCCCAAGTGCTGAGACTGAGTCTGTGTTGGTTCTGTGTCCTAAGCTGTTGTTCTACAGTATATGTGCTTCTCTGATCCTTTGTCTACAGGTAGTATCACAAAACTAGGGTCGAAACAATTAATAGTGATTAATTAATTATTGAAATAATTGTCAACTAATTTAGTAATCGATTAATAGTTAATTGGAGTATAGAGACTTTAAAAAATGAATTTAGCGGACAGAACGACCCACCCTAAGCAATAATTATACCAAAATTGTAAAAAAAAAAAAAAACACAAAAAAAACATGTAAAAATTTTGCATTTAAGCTAAAAAAAATCTTTTTCGTCTGACAATATGCTCTATCCAGTTTAAGTTTAAAAGTTTTAGTTTCACCTGTTAATTTCGTAAAACCTCTTCTTTAAGGAACCTTTTGCTATCTGATTATTAATCGATTAATCAAAAAAAATAATCGACAGTTTAATCTATTTGGAAAATAATCGTTAGTTGCAGCCCTGATCACAACCATGCATCTACCATCAAATAAGAAACCACCTTTGATTCAGCCAGTTCATTGAGCTTCTGCAAATGTCAAAATATTGCAAAATGCAAAACAAAGCAACAGTCTCCTAGCTTGATTATTGTTCCTAATACATGATAAACTCGGCATACTAACCACATTAATCAGCAGACCAAATCCACCGAGAGCCACAGCATGGAAGATCAAACCTCCTACAGCTCTGAAACATGGAGGCTGAAGGTCATGATTCATTTTTTTGTTTAATTTGCTTATTTATTTTTTTTCAGTTAGAGTTTTACTCAAAGAGACGAGTGAAGTCTCTTTAATCTATAATCTTTCTATGTGAGTGATTGCTGTAGAGTTAACGACAAAATGCCAGTGAATATTTTCAACACGGCTCTTTAAGAAGTGTCTCCTGGAAATCATTGACTCGAGGCATTCAACTGTTTTTCCTTGGATAGAAACTTTTTTTACCAATCTGACTGTATGATCTGTAAAGGGCCTTGAGATGACGTGTTGTAAACTGATGAAATATAAAAAAAACAGAATTTCATTGAATAATCTACCAAGTCATGTTGACAATTAATTTTTATCATTCTTAGTTGGTTGCATAAGTAGTCAACAAAAATAGCGAAATATACATTTTTTGGTATTTTAGACACAAAGTAGTCTCATAATTTGTGTCATTTATTTTACATTGTTGCTTGGTTGTATATTAATGTGTGTTGCCATTTGTCACCATTACCTTTTAATTAAATTTTTGGACCGCATGTAAATCTGAACAAAAAAAGAGAAGCATTTGGATGTCAGGGGTTCCTTTTAATAAATATTACCATTAGACATTTTACAAGAACAAAATAATTGTTAGTCAATTATAATCTATGTATTAATCCTGAAACATATAGAGACATAAAAACGAAATATATATTTACATATTATGTACAATAATATGTATTGATAAGTATATATTAAATGTGTTATAAAATAAAGTAATAAGTATAAATCAAACATTTTAAAGTACAAATTCACCAGACATAAATAGGCAAAATAAATCAATAGCAAAATTTTGAAGAATGTGATAAGAAAAGGAAAATATATTAGATTTATGTTCCCAGGAGGAGATTCAATGTATTAAAGAAATAAACCTCTATCAGAATAAGGTGATCTTAACTGGTTTGTAGTTCAGGAAAAAAACAAAAAAAAAAACAAAACAAACAACAACAACAACAACAAAATCTTATTAAAATTGATTTTATATATTCCGTAAAAGTTTAAAAAACAATCCACTGGACTTTGTTTCCAAGGTTTGAAGACGTTTCACTTCCCCTCCAGGAAGCTTTCTCAATTCAAATTTACTTTATATGTAGACTCCATTGTGGCTTAGGCTGCGAGACTCTGGGTTAACCATGGATTGCTTATAGCTTATAAAAACAGGAGTCTGTGGAACAGGATGAAAGCTTGATTGGAAGGATGAGGTTGCATTCCCGGTATACGTTGGTGAGTACGGAGTTGGGTTTTGGGTCATGTATAACGAGTTTCCTGAGGTGTAAATGCTGCTGGGGTGGTAAGAGCTTGGCATTGAAGACTGATGAGCCAGGCTTCCTTGATACAGCAGTGATGCATTTTCAAATGGACCAGGAGTGTAGAAAATAGCTGGGTTCATCGGGGATCCATTGCTTGTCATTACTTGGAAATTTTGAAGTGGTACTGGACCGTTGCCCTGGGGGGAATTCCGATACGGGTTCGACTGAATGCTTGGAGCACTTGAAACGGGCCGATATCTTGTCATTGCTTGTCTGTTTGCTTCTGGCTTGTAATTCAGCAATTTCATTGGGGAGTATACATCAAATGAGCCTTTTTCTGAGGGAATTCGTCTGCAGATGAACAACAAGGACGATGCAAAAAGAACCGCTCCCGTCACCCAACCGATGTAAAGAGCTTCTCCCAACTCTCTCCTCTGGGCATCAATCAGCAGCGGATTGTAAAAATCTTGAATGATGACATGACCAGTCCAAGACACCGGTATGAAAACACAAATGCAGGCCATGAACTGCATTGCTCCAGCAATCATTAAAATGATTGTTTTAGCCCATCTGTTACCTTGAAGGCAGTTGCTGCATTTCATTCCTGCTAGAGCTATGAGGAGGCCTAACCCTGACAAGGCAACAGAGCAGCACATCAGGCCTCTGGCAGCCTGCAGATCGGGGGGCAGATACAACAAGGAGTCGTACACCTTACACTGCATCCTTATGTTTGCCTGTCTGTAGCAGTTCATCCATAAGCCCTCCCAGCGTGTCTCCATCACAACGATGTTTTCTCCTATGAAAGCAGTCACTTTCCACATTGGCAGACCTGTGGTAGCTGAGGCTCCGATCAGCCCAACCAGGCCGACGCACATTGCAGCAACATCAGAAACACCTTTAATCATTGTAAGTCCAAAACGAGATGATCTCCCAGGCAAAAACAGAACAAAAAATTCTCAATCTTTAGCGGAACATTAAAGAAACTGAGTTGAAGGTGAAGGTATGTCCAGGCAGAGAGGATCTTTCCTAACTGCTTACTGTAAAAAGCTGCTTGTTATGGGAAAATTTCATTGCTTTCACATGATTGGCTCAGAGAGATGCAGGTATAGACGATGTGTGCTTATTTAGTATTTACAGTTGAGCTATTTATGGGGGCATAACCCTAAACATTAGCTCCTCCAGCAGTAGAAACCAAAACACATCAATGAAAAAGAAAAAAATACAAGCCCAACTTTTAAAAATATCTGGTTTTTATTTGTTTGTGATTATATATTGTATAAGGCAAACAGAGATCAGTGTCCAGTAAAATGAAAAACTGACAGTTTTCTGTTTTGTCCACAGGGGAGCAGAGAAGAGCTTTGAGGTAATGAAATAAAAGGTTTGCATGACATCACACAGCATTTCATTTCTTCCACATCAAACCAGTGATTCATGATTACATTAGAAAAAAATAAAAATCATAGTTGTTTAAAAAAACTAAAACCATCATTCAAAGATCATCAAAAATGTAATGCTGAAGTTTAAAGTTGCTTTAATTTCTTGTAATGTTATAGTTGAAATGTAGTGACCTTTAAGCTGTACTTTATTTATGCCCTTCACAGAAAGTTTTTCCTGCTATTCATATGAAACAAGAATCATCACAACAGCTAACAAGGATGTTTTGGTCTAAATTCAAAGTAGCTTGCAGATTCTGATCACATGAACTCTTTGTTAGTTTACCAGGTTGAGTTACCTTTGCGTCCACGCCCTTAGGGAGCAGCGCTACCTGAGTCTCTTGTTTGTTCAGCCATTTTATCCTTTTCAATTGTTTTTTTTTATGCAATACAAAATGCCTAACTTTTACAAATATCAGGATTAATTAAACCAAAATAGTTTGAAATGGTTTTAATCATAGCTACATGATTCAGTTCAATACAGTAAGCCCTGTTTTTTCCTGTTTTACGGACCTCATTTGTGACATACAAGCAATTGTTTTCCCTGATATATAATACTGGATGAAACTGGTACAAATGTTATAGAAAAAAGGTAATGTTTTTTGAAGCATCTGATTTTAGTCTTTTGGCTGCTAAAAAAAAACAATTTGAATTGTCTTTCTCATCTAAACTTACATATGTCAAATGCCAACTATGATGCATATCTTACCATTAAACAAACAGACATTTCTTATGGTGAAGGTGTACATAACATGCATATTCACAATATTTACTCCATTTTGACAGTCCAAATATCCATAAGCATTAGCAGTTAATCATAAAATACAAAAAAAAAGATGTTGAACGGTTAACTCAGATAAGTTTTTAATCATGGTTGATGTCAAATTACTTTCCTATATTTATGTATGTGTACAGCAAAAACATAAGAACAGTTCATATACTACATTAAAGTAGTTTTTAACTGATTGTGCTATTAAAGAAATGTGTATATATTTTAAATTAAATGTGTTTACCTTAAAAAAAAAACCATTCCAGTCACGCTGATAGAAAACTGTCTTGTAAGGGCTATTTATTCCTAATAAAAGTGTTCAAAGATAAGCAACCCCACTGCGCACAGAGGGGTATCTGGATTGGTAACTGTAGATAGTCGACGGCTGCCTTGACAGCATTGGCTGAGGTTCTGGTCGAGGGATAAAAACCAGCTGCTGAGGCTGTAGAGGAGGCCGAGGCTGCAGTGGCGGCAGTGGCTGGGGGGTGTAGGCCGTATAGTCTGAGTTTTTCGAGTATATGTACCTCTCTGATCTGTCATCTTCAGACTGTATATTGCAACAGGTAAACATGCATCCTCCAGCAAATAAGAAAGCAGCTGACACCCAGCCAATATAGAGAGCCTCTCCAAGCTCCCTGCGCTGGGCATCAATCAGCAGAGGGTTGTAGAAGTCCCTGATGATGACGTGGCCTGTCCAGGACACAGGGATAAGGACACAGATGCAAGCCATTATGATCATACTTCCTGCAATGATGAGGACCAGTCTCTTGGCTCGATCGTTGTTTCTGATACATGATGTGCACTGCAACCCAATCAAACTGATCAGCAAACCAAGGCCTCCCAGAGCCAAAGAGCAGCACATTAACCCTCTTGCAGCTTGCAAGTCAGGGGAAAGAGCCAGCAGAGAGTCGTAGACCTTACACTGCATCCGTATGTCAGCTTGTCTGAAGCAGTTCATCCACAAGCCTTCGTAGCGAGTCTCAAACACTATAATATTCTCCCCAATGAAGGCTGTGACCCGCCACATTGGCATTCCAGTGCTTGCAGCTGCCCCAATTAAACCAATCAGAGTCAGTAAAAGTCCCACAATCTCCAGCGCAGAGTTGGCCATCCTGTCCTCAGTCGCTCATCCAGGCTCACAGGTGGAAAAGCAGAACAACAATATTTGGTTATAGATCAAGGCAGTTGGTTTTCCCTATTAGGTGGCTTTTCATCCGCATGGAGGAGGAGCAGGTGGCTGTTTCCTTGTACAACCTCTTCCCTATGGATGGTACGATATAATGGGAAGGGGTGGGAGTTTGTGGCTTTACCTAGGAGACCAATTCCTCAGTGTGTATTTTACCTCTGCTCACAAACCCCAAGAGCTTCTGTACGCTGCTGCTTTGTTTATTCAGATGGATCCTTTTACGTCCTCAGATATCACGTTACAGGGAACCATTAAAGGGGAAATATTTTGCCATGAGACAATAGTTTGAAAAAAGAATATATATGAAAATTTCACCTGCTGATTTGAAGAGGTTTGATATGTCAACATTATTTCCAAATGAATAAAATAATGAAAAAATAAAGTTAAAAAGTGAAATTGAATCTGAATCACTGAAAATTTATAATTTCTTTCTAAATCCCAGATCAAAGGATTCTGCAATTGTTTCTGAAGGACTGTGGTAGTTTTTTTTTTTTTTTTATCTGATTGGCAATTTTGTGTCTTGCAGCTTTTGGAGCACCGACCCCAGCCATTCTGCATCCTCAAAAAACTTTTTTTTTTTTTGCTTTTTTATTGTCATTGCACTATCACAAGTACAGAGCAACAGAATGAATACTCTGCATTGAACCTATTTCCTTGGGGAGCAGTGGGCTGCCATTGTGTGACGCCAGGGAAGCAGTGTGGGGTTAAGGGTCTTTGCTCAAGGACCCAGAGTGGGAGTCTGTGGGAGTGGGGCTCGAACTCAAAATGTCAGGATTCCAAGCTCTATGCCCTAACCACCACGCCACCACTCTCCTTAAAGGTTAACTCAAAACAGGAAGCAAAACTTGAAAAAAATTCCCCTACACCTTTTAACTGGTCTATTAAGCCATTTTCTCGTCTGTGGTTATACTCTTATTTACCTACGTTGTTGTAAAAACACCTAATTTCTATTAAACATTAAAATAATTATTCAAACACCCAGCTCCTTTAGCAATGACCTTACTTACTAAGGGTGTCAAAACTTTTGGACATCTGGAAAGACAGCAGTCTATCCCGTAATACTGTAACATGACATTTATATGATTAAAAAAAAAAAGTTTGTTGCACAATTTCAATGATCAACTTATTGAAAATTGTATCAAGTTGCTTCTAAGTTTGCTTTATTAAGTTGCTGGCTATTACACATGAGTTTTGTTTCTTTTAACTAATTAATTTAAAAAACAGTTATTTTGTGGCATTTATGGATATACACCTGCAATAAATTGAGATAGTTTGCATTGTTACTCAATTAATAGACTATTTTATACTGCTTTTAAAAAAGCTTACAGTCCAAAGTTCTATTTAAATCTGTTTCCTTTTTTTGCTTTAATTTCAGAGAAAACTTTAGCAAGATTAACTTCACAGTTTTATTTATCAAATGACAAAAAATTTGGTCCTTTTTTGTTTACAATTGTTGTACGGGACTTTATGTAGCCAAAACAGGCTTTTCGGTGGCAATAAGAAACAAAAAAAAAAGATTAAAAACGTAAGAGCTGTTGTAGACAAAAATAAACAGGTTTACAAATTTTTCTTAACTTATAAGTTGTGTTTTTTAATTAATAGAATTAATAAGTGTGTTTGTTTCTTATTGGTATTTATATGTTTTGTTTTTTGATCCTTCTGTAAGTCTATGGAAAAAAGAAAAAAAACTGGAAGTTGCACTATATACATGGTTTAGAAAATCTTTTTTAGTTGGATGTTCTCAAACAAGCTGGTTTTGCTGGTTAGGACACATTTCTTCAAGGCAATGATTAAGCAACATAACTTTCCGTGTGGACACACCCGTAGGTAAAACAAAAGGAGTTTCAGCAGGAATATCTGGATTTCCAGACAAACATTTTTTTTCTTTCTTTAGAATCAAGTTATTATCAGGAAGCAAAACTAAAGAAAACTTACATGTTTCTCACTCTTTTTTATTTAACATGAAAATATTCATATGACGGTCTTATTTTGAAAATAAAAAGTATATACATAAAATCTTAACAGTATACAGAGAACACCTGAAGGCGTAGAGAATGTCTAGTGCACATTTTAACTAAAAAGACCATCTATAGAGTTTGTAAGGCATAAACATCACCGCATTGCTACTACTAAATGCTTGGTCAATAGCCACAATACAACAGGGACTTAAGCAATTTAAGCACACTTCCATATAATCACAACTCAATCACTTATTTAATGAAATTGAGTCTCAGAAGTACACTTGCCTCCCTTTTTTTAAACCGAATGCATCTTTTTAAATTATGCCATTTCTTCTCACTCAGTTGTCCTCATTCTTTGAACCACGTTTTATTTTCTGGTTTAAAAAGCAAGTCCAAATATTTCCTAGTACTGAGTCGGAGTATATGCCACAGATCCTGTTGGAGGTGCAGAGTACTGGGGTTGGTAGCTGTATGCAGGCTGGTATGTGTACGGCTGGTATGTGTAGGCAGGTTGGTAGATACTTCCACCAGGATTGTAAATGACCCTCTCCTCTTCTATATTGGTGCGCGGAGCATGGCGACACAGCAGAATGACTCCAGCTGCGAAAAGCAAGGCAGACGTCACCCAGCCGATGTAGAGGGCCTCTCCGAGTTCTCTTCGCTGGGCGTCAATCAGCAGTGGGTTGTAGAAGTCCATGATGATGACATGGCCAGTCCAGGAGACTGGGATCAGGGTAGTAACACAGCCCATGAGGAAGAGACATCCTCCAACCACAAGGACGATGTGCTTTGTGCGAGCACGATGGTCCACCATCTTAGTGCATTTCATTCCCACCGCTGAAACAACCAGGGCGAAGGTTGTCAGCGCGACAGAGCTGCACATCAGACCTCTGGCTGCCTGGAGATCTGGTGGCAGGAACAGCAGGGAATCGTACACCTTGCATTGCATTCTGATGTTGGCTTGTCTGAAGCAGTTCATCCACAAACCTTCCCAACGGGTTTCCATCACAATGATGTTTTCCTCAATGAAGGCTGTTACCTTCCACATGGGCAAGCCAGTCACCGCTGCTACTCCGATCAGTCCAATAAAACCAATGACGAGAGCAATAATCTCACAGCAGATTTCATTTCGCTTTTTCCTCTTCTCAGCTTTCATTTTTTCCTCATAAACAGAGTCTTGGTAGTCTTGGTAATCTGTGTAGGCCTGGGGTGGCTTCTGCAAGTTCTCGTCATAGTAGGATGGAGCATAGGACATTGGTGGCTTAGTATAGCCACTGTAGGCTGTGTAAGACGCCATCACATGTAACACCAAAGGCCAAAGATGTGCTGTGTGGCTGCACCCTTACGGCTCTGGAGGAAGGTCTGAAGAAGAGGGCGAGCAACAGGACATATACTCCCAAAAAAAACATGCAAATGATGCAATGCAGCCTAACTGGTTGATCTACTTGAAGTCATCAGATAGATGCTGACAAAGAAATGCTCCTTGATTGATTGATTGCAAATGAAACTGCACTGACTTTCAATCCGTTGTGAAAACAAACATAATCCTCTTATTTTTGATGATTTAACAAATAAAGTTAAATCTGGTCAGTTTCTGTAGTTTAAAGATCAGGAAAGATCAGGACAAAATATATTATAATTTAGACATTAAAAAGGTTAAAATATACATCGTAAATGGGTCATGAATTGGATTCCCTTAATGTAACAACGATCATAATCACATCTGGAATGACATCAATTTGTCAAAACTTGATAAAAAAAAAACATTATTTGTATAAATAGTTTTATTAAGATGGCTCTTATAGTTTTTTACATCCAGTCATTCATTTTTTCAACAAACTGAAAGCCGACCACAGATGCCAGAACCTCTGAATTTCTTATGCAAGGTGAGCTGATGAGGTGTTGATTGCAGAGAAACAAGAGGAGGATTGGTTTCACTTGCCAGAAGTTCTCACCTTTTACATATACTTATGTTTGATTTGTCTGTAATGTTAGGTTTAACCTTAGCCATGTAGAGGCAAAACAACTACTTGAGACACACTTATATTATATATATCATTTTATTTTTTTAGGTATCCCAAAAGTTCCAATAAATCATTGTGTTCAGAGAATCCACAAAATGCCTGCAGTACAACATCTAAGCAGTTGTATTTAGCTAAAACCACTGGTTGCGGTTTCAAAGTAAGCATGACAGGTTTAACAGCTGCTGTGAGGTTGAATGAGTCCCCAGAGATCAAAGTGATTTAAGGTACTGAGATACTTTGGAATATGTAACAGTAAATGCAGGGTGTACAGCCTCAGTAAGCTATTATTTATTAAGTAAGCTTAACATTTATTTACTCATGTCATCTCAAATGTTCAGGAGGTCGCATTTTCTATTTTCTTGTATTCTGTTTTTAGCTGTAGCTTTGCACAAATCCAGTCTTCCTAGAATGAGTTTTTTAAACTAGGTTTGAGAAATCTGGAATTTTGATTGTCAATAGAATGAGTGTTGCTCTGAATGTCTTAGATTTATTATTTGTACTAAAAAATATAATTCTATGAATATCTGGAATGCAGTTAGTATTATACAGCCATTTATGCATGTCAGCTGATGTGATTTTTGTTAAAATTGATTATTGACAGCATACATATGAACATGCAAACTCAACGCAGAAAGCCAGGATTCAAAACCAGGGTCTTCTTGCTGTAAGATTTTCCAAACATTTGGTTAATCTTTAAAGATGTTTACCACATTTTTGGATCATTTTGCAACCACTGCATCAATTTAAGCTATGAAAACGAGAAATAGATTAAGCAACTGGTTGTGTCTGTGCTCTCCTCCAGTGTTTTGCTAGCATTCCATTTGCATCCTGTGTTATCCTACAGATTTATTTCAGCATTTGTGAAATATATAATGACATATACAATGACCTATAGATATCAACATTTTACAACTCAGATGCTTACATTGCTTAAAGTTCTGGTAAAAAGCACTCTCGTTTGCAAAAGAGGCCATCCTTAGTTATTATTTTCTTGACTTCTCCTAATGATTTTCCTTTTTTTTTCTATTAAAACTCTTTGGTGCTTGATGGTTTATGTGTCACAGTTTATATGTTCACATTTAAAGTGGTTGTAAACTTCGCATCCATGTGAAGCTGACTTTAGCCGGTGACTCAGCATGTCAGGGAGCTAAGGTGAACAGGGGGATGGTTAAAATTGGATCTGCTGAAAACTCTTTTTCTCATGTCCAGTTCATGATTTCTCTGAGGGTGTAATGCCACCAAAACAACTCAGAGGTCACCTGGAGAAAACACACACATACCTTACTTGTCAGATATTTCTTTATTATAAAGAGGAATGTATAGTTATAATATACAGATAATAAATGTGCTGTGTTTCGGAAGTTAATGTCTATTCTCTGAATTTTCCCGATTAAATGTGTATGTAAACAAGTATACAAACGCTTGACTGCTTCCATTTGTGCCTGTGAGTTTGTGTGCAGTTGACCAAAGCAATATTACTTTGTCCTTATTTAATTAAATTCATTTGGTAAGCTAATGTTACTATCTAGATTGTTGAAATTTAGATAAAACAGGCGTATTACTTAACTAAATACAAAGTTAGTGTTAAAAATTAAGTAAATAAACTCAAATCTTAGTAAGATACACCACAGCATCAAATTTTAAACAAAGCATATAAGAAAACATATTTTTTTTTTCCCTTATTATATTAGATCTTCTGGGGATAAAGCATAAAACAATAATTTTCAGTAGAAATTTCGGCACTCTGACTTACAGCTTTTTTTTGTTAATGTATAGTGAGTTATGTTTGCATTAAATATTTACCAGAGATCCAAAGTTAAAATAATTAAAAGAGCTTTCCAAATTAAAGAGCAAATGAATTGCCTTGCAGAGATACAACATTAATCAAAAAATACACATCAACACTTTTTTGTGTATGAAATTGTATAAAAAAGAATATTTGTGACTAGAAGTGCGAGTCACTGAAGCCTTCACTTTTAAAGTCATGTGCAAACCAGCGTGAGTTTTCTCCTTGGTTGAATGTTGAGCATTAAAAAAAAAAAATCACAATAATTTACACATATTCTTGGAATTTATGGAAGCTGGATCCTGCCTTGGCGAGGTATACACTGTCATCTTTTGCAGCACTTTTTTCCTCCATTAAATATGCATCAATGTAGTGGTCTTCCTCTTTGGTTCTCCGTTTGCTATATCTGAAGAGCAGGATGATTCCTGTGGCCAGCAATACACCAGAAGTTCCCCAGCCGATGAAGATTGCTTGTCCCAGCTCTCGTTTCTGAGCATCCAGCAATGTTGGATTATAGAACTGTTTGATAATCGAGTGACCCACCCAGCTGACGGGAATGAGTGTAGTCAGAAATGAAAGGAGATACAAACACCCCCCAAAAGCCAGAGTGATGTTTTTGCTCTTCATGTTGTCACCACAACAGTAGCTCCTCTTGATTCCACAGGCAGTGACAATCAAGGCGATGAAAACCAGAGCAATGGAGACGCACATTAATCCCCTCGCCGCCTGCAGCTCGACCGGGAGAACCAGCAGGGAGTCATACACCTTGCACTGCATCTTGATGTCAATATGTCTGTAGCAGGTCATCCAGAGGCCTTCCCAGAGCTCCTCCATTATGATAAGATTGGCCCCAATGAAGGCTGAGACCTTCCAGGTTGGTAGAGCAGTTACAGTGATTGTCCCAAACAGGCCAAGGAAGCCCAGAACCAGGGCTACGATTTCCAGCTTTGCTTTCATGGTTAAGAGGAAGAAACTTGTGCTCGTCTCGTCTTTTCTGTGTGCGTGCAGTGCAGGTACTAACCAGCATGTCTGTTTAACAAGACTCTAAATCTGATATAGTCATGCAATGCATGTAATGTCACTCTGCTGGTTTGGAACACCTTAATCTTAAAAAATAACAGTGCTTTTAGTAAAGGAAAATTAAACTACATTAGTCTTTCTCCTGAACCAAATGTCAACGCTTCTTGTCATGCATTACATATAAACAATTTGCATGTGCTAAAAAACAAAGAAAAGCTAATTGGGTCAACATCCTGCCTGTTTAGATGTAGTGACCCCCAATCTAGAGGAAGAAAATGCTTTTTCTTCCATAGCTACTGCAATTCTTAAAAAAATAGAGAAAACAAAAATAAATGACAAAAAAATAAGATACAATTATTCAAGAACAAGGTGAATAAAATGTATGGCTAAGTGTTGAACTACATATTGTTACTGATCAGAAGTTTCCATATAATCATCATTAAAAAGTCCGTCATTAATTTGGGGTTTTTATGGATGCATTTGAACTGTTTTACTTTTTGTTTGTTTGTTTGTCTTTTTCTATGCAGAAACATTTTATAACATAGAACACAGAATATTCCTGAATTATTTAAGTGTATGTTGCTTCTTACCTTAAGAAAAGACTTCCAAATATACTGACAAAGTACTAAAGGAAATCAAACTAATAATTGGCTGCGAATGATTTTTGTGTTCCCTTCTAATCAAAACAGTGTAAACATTTTACGTACAGGCCTAGATTTACCCAAACATCCATACTTATACTTAAATAAATGTCCACAAGCTGTAAAAGCCTTATTTTATTCTGTAATAATCAACAAACATCAACAATAATTCTGGTTGAATATTTAACTGCTTGATTTTATCACAAATACAATCCTCATTTCAAATTATACAATTTATTGTTTATTCTCCAATGGTTACCGTAAGTTAATTTCTTAACATTACTCTGTTTACATTTAAAAGCACATTTTTTGTGTTCAAAAGATGCCAATCTAAATGTCTTCAGAAAAGTTTTATGAACAGATGACACAAACATCATATAGTTTGCTACATCAATGCTTTTAAACCTCAGACCACTGTGTTTAAAGCAAAATGATGGTTGCATAATACTGAGGGCTTTGCACAGAGCAGTCGGATTACTGTTGATCAGATTCATCAATTTCCTCTCAGATCAAACAAGACTTGCCAAAATGGGGAGTTCTCACAGAAAAATGAATCTAATATCAAAACTGGGTTTAAAACAGATTAAGCAGGCAAACATCAAGGCTTTACAAAGGTCATGGTTTCCTCCCTATCTATGATATTTGCCCACAATTCAGGACAAGGACGGGAAACCAGACAACATAGTTTATAAATAGCTTTTCTAATGAGAAAAGCAATGAAATATATACAAACAGAATAGTATTAGAATCCAAAAATGATTCTGACATTTATGCTGATATTTAGTATATATGTTTAATCAGAAAGGCAGTTATTTTATAAGATTTCATTAGTGGCTAGTTTGTGAACATATGTAACTAAATTTTGGATTCCATATCTCAAGAGCACCTCTCGGGAGTGTATATTTGAATTTTCTCACAATCTAGAAAGCTTTGACAACATATGTTATATTATTTTTTGTTAAAAATACATTAAGTATGTTTAGTGTATAGTCTTTTCTATATGTTAGGACTTTATTCATGTTTTTTTTTTTATTTATATGTTTCCATTTCCAAAAGCTGGTTGGAGCTATAAGCCTTAGTGGCCACTCATATCGATGTACAAACAATTACAATACTGATTTTTTTTTTTTAATCAGTATTGTAATTGCAAAAAAAAAATAAAAAATTGCACATTAGAGTTTAAACTAGATTTTTTTTTCTCCATTAAATGTGGGTAGAATCATTTCAAAACAGTGACAGACTTTAGAGTGGAGAAGAGCAGCCACTTCTTCTGTGAAACCTTATTTGATCTAAAAAAAAAAAAAAAAGGTGACACCCTGTTGATCATCCTGTTTCTAAGAAGACAAGAGAGCAACAGACAAAGAAATGTGGCAGGAGAGGTCACAATACAGGAACAGAAACCGGAAAACCTGCTGAACAGGTTCTCTGGCCAATACTGCCGTCAGCTGCTTTGAATGTAAACAGATAAGATCACTGTGAAAAACCCAGAGTGGTAAAGTTAAAAACAAATGAAAGATGGCTTTGAAAGAAGTTCTGCTGCGGCTAAAATGTTAATGTTTGATTTTTATTTCAAATCTAGATTACATAGGAATGAAATAACTGTTTTTAAAGGAAAATGAAAATCATATAAAGGAATAAACATTAAGCTGTAACAATTTGGATACAGGAAATGTTCAATAGGCTTCATGCGCCCCCTACTGAATGCAAATATGACTGCTGACACCTAAGTGTTGAAGGAGCAGTTTTCTCAAGAACTGCTTACTTGGTGACACATCGCTGCTTTATTAAGCAAGAGTTTCCTGGTTGAATAAGATGTTTTTAAAGTAGGGCACCATACTAAGAAACGTTTGAAAACTTTTTAATTGGTTATTTATTTATTAATGACACTGAGTTGCTGCTGAGTTACAGGAAAGAATATATATATATATATAATTATTATGTCAGTGCCGAAATCACAATACTTACATAATTGATAAATTAAAAAAAACAATGTATAGCACTGGATCGCCTTGAATGTGACATTGTCTGAAATCATTTTCGCTGAAGTATTTCTTCAGAAAAATAATATATAATTTATTTAGTTTTATGCACTGTTACATTCTCTTTAAAAACATTTTAACTGCAAATACCAGGAGAAATGCCTTAATATCCGAATAAAGGCAAAACAACATATTTTAAATAGCAAAAATGTGTTAAAATTATTATTCATTTCAATTATTTCCTTCAATAATTAAAAAAACAAGTTATTTTAATAAAATCTATTTCTTCATATTTCATTATCTTACAAATTGTAGTATTACTTCTGTATTAGTTTCTCCCTCTGCAATCTCAGGATGGTCACACAGTAGAATAACAAAATACATCTATGCTTGCTAAATGTAGGCCATAGATAAAAGTAATGTTCGCAGTCATGTAAACTCAAATCTTTAGCATATTCAGTATGACATCTATAAAATGTTCTATGTGTTTAATGCATAAATTCGAAAAACAAGCAACATTATTTATTTTCTCTAAGCTGGTTTTTCAAGTAGTAGTGATAAACTTGTTTTGTGGTCATAAAAAAACAAGTCTTTAAACATGGATCCCCACATCCCAAGGTTTGGATGTCCTCGATGTCGTGTCCTGGTGTGCTTTTTTTCCAAACATCTCCATAGCATGATCCTGCAAACAATGTTTTAATATGGGGATGGTGGGTTTTGGGTAAGTAATAAAAGCAGATCTTGTTTTCTCCAAACATGGTGCTTTGAATGCAGCCCCATACAGTTAATCTGTGATGTCAGGTGTGTCATGCCCTGTTTACACTACCCTTTTGAAACCGTACCGAGATAACTGTTGAGTGTAAATGGCAAGCACAACCAAACGGCGCTAACATGGTACTATTTCATCAGTAAGTAAATGGTAAATGGCATGTACTTATATTGCGCCTTTATTCAAGTTAGGAGACTTGACCAAAGCGCTTTACACTACATTCATTCACCCATTCACACACACACTCACACACTGATGGTGGCAAGCTACATTGTAGCCACAGCTGCCCTGGGGCTGACTGACAGAAGCGGGTATCAGTAGGGATCTGCTTATTGTCTTCTTCTGCTGTATCTCTGACCTCTCTGTGGAACTTCTCCTTCTTCAAGATGTTTTTTATTCATTAAGCTTATTTAGAATAAATTATAATAATAATAATGCACACAGAGAACAGATTCTTTTTTATGAGATTATAATTTTCTTCTTTTTACTCCTAAGGTGAATTCTGATTGCACTTGAATTGTTTTTATTGTTTCCATCCATCCATTTTCCGTCACATTATATCCTATCTGGGGTTGTGAGGGGTGTTGATGCCTTTATCTCACTGTCAACAGGCAAGAGGCGGGGTCAACCCTGGACAGGTCGCCAGTCCATCGCAGGGCAACACAGAGAGAAACAGGACAAACAACCATTCAGGCACACACTCACACCTCAGGAGAATTAAAAAAAAACAGTCATAGTTTTTCTTGGAAGGAAGCCGGAGTACCCCATCCTGCAGCTGGGAATTGAACCTGAACCCTTCTTGGTAGCAGTGCTACCCACTGTCGTACTGTGCAGCCTCCATTAGAGTTATATCAAAGCTAAACAAATATGCAAGTACAACTGCTTCTTATATGGTTAATATTCAGAAAATTAAACATTTGCTCAATTTGATCATATAATTATCTTGTGCTTTGTGTTGGTTAAGCAACATATTAACCCTATAAACACATTGAGGTTTATGGCTGTAATGTAAAAAGTATTGGAAAATGTATTTTTTCACCAGGAGGCTGACTTGACTTGTGAAAGCATCCTTAATCAAATTTAGTGATCAAAAGCAAACACTCCTTTTTTGTGTGATAAATCATAATAGTCAAAATTGCAATTATTTTAACTGATATTTCGTTTGGGATTTTATTTCAAATTTTCTTTGGATTAACTACAAGTATGTAGATGTTTCTCTACATACTTCGTTTCAGTTTTGTATGACCTCGAAAGCTTGATTCTCCAGAGTCTATTTTTGCAGGACTTTACAGTAACCTTCATCTTCCATGTATTGATCTGCCTGCTAGTTACAACATTTTCTTTCCTTCTTTGCGGCCACCAACCCACCTGAAGGGTTGGAGTGAGAAATGTAGTGTCTAATTCTGGGGAAGTCATGTAACTAAAATTGAGTGCCTCTGCGATTTGAAAATTGGGTTTTGTTAAAGCGCAATTATATTGTTATGGCAATTAATTGCTCGGCTGTATTAAAATAATATTCTCAATACTAAAACTAATAAGAATTTTCTTTGCCATGATCGAGTCAGATGGAAAGTTTCAGCTCTGAAATATGTT